ATATATATATTAATAGTTAATATATATAATAATATATTTATTTATTATAGTTAGTTAGTTAATAAATAAAATATTAATTTAATTAATTAATTTATATATAACTTAACTAGTCCTAACTAGTTAGGTAGCTAGTTAACTAGGACTAGGTTAGTTAAGTTAGTATAGTAACTAAGACTAAGCTAATTAAGTTAACTTAGCTAAATTAAGTGACTTAAGTCTAATTAAACTAGTTAACTAACTAGTCTAACTAAATACTAAGTAACTAGTTTCCTAACCTTAGTATTATTTATATTTTCTAAGAGAATAGTTTTTAACTATTCTTTATTAGTATTAAGATTAAGTATTTTAAGTATAGTAACTTTATTAATACTATCTATAATAGTTTAAAGAATAATAAAATAACTAACTACTTAGTAGTAATAATAGAAATTATTAGTAATACCTTTATATTTAGCTATTTAAACTAGTACTATTAAAGTATTATAAACTAAATTACCTTAACTATTTCTAAAGTATTAATAATAATAAACTTATAATATAAATTATAGCTTAAGTTATCTACTAAATTAATTACTATAACTAAGTTAATATTAAAGCTATAAAATAAAAAAGCTTTATTTAAGGTTATTTTATTATAATACTTATAGCTAAAGTTTTTAGTTATAAAATAGATAAGTATATAGGTAATAGTATTAAGAAAAATAGCTACTTAATAGTACTATTCTATAAATATCTAGTCCTTATTAGTATTATAGCGCTAGTACTATACCTACTATAGAGCGCGTTATATACTTAAGTATATAACCTATAGTAAGTGTTATAATACCTTTAATTTAAGCTGTAGTCTTACTACTTATTATATAATATATAGTATTATATAAACTACATATATAGATATTAACTTATAATATAGATTACCTTTCTAAATAGTTACTCCTATAATATATCTTTATTCCTAATAATTTATATACTTATAACTTATAAGAGTTATAAGCTTAGTTCTATTAATAATTTAAATTACCCTTCTACTATAAGTTATATATAGGAAACCTATTTCTATCCTTTTTATTAATTTCTTTATTATCTTTATTAATTATATCCTCTACTAATAATAAAATTCCCCTTATAGGAGTTATTCTTATATTAAGAAGTAATTAGTTTATATAGTATACTTATTTTAAGTTCTATATATACTTAAGAAGCTTTTAGGACTATATTAACTTAAATATAGATAATTATATTAATCCTTTATAAATAACTATAGTTCTAAAGATCTCTAAGTGTATTACTAAGTATTAAACCCTCCTAAATATAAAATACTAAGAGGAACATAATTAAGGTTAGGATTTAGTTAAGTTAAGTTAAGTTAATAAGCTGACTAAGACTAGGTCTTATAAGTTATAGGCGCGCAGGTTATTAAGAATAAAGGTGTATTATAGGAGTAACTATTTAGAAAGGTAGTCTATATTATAGACTAATATCTATATATATAGCTTATATAATACTATATATTACGTAATAAGTAGTGAGGCTATAACTTAAATTAAGGGTATTATAATATACCCCCTTAGATATTATAAATAGCTAAAAAACCTATTTCTTACTACTATATACCTAAAACCTATCTAAATTTATTATATAAAATATATAAAAATAGCTTTCAAAATAATAAAATAAATAGATAAATAAAATTAGTATTTATAGTTATATGTATAGAATATAAGAGTACTTAATAA